GCTATATCTTCTCTCTAGTCCAATTAAGTGGATTCTTAATAAAGAAAAGGATAGGTCTGACTAATCAAGACAGTCTTGAATGAATCGAGGTGATTTATATTTCCAGCTATCAAGACTAATTATGAAATTATGAAAGTCAAGTCGGTATGAAACTGGCACAGAGGACAAATAGAACAATGGGCTGGAGGTGTCCAGAAATAGATGTGCGAAGATATGGAAAGTGCACTGTGTTAACAAAAAAAATCTAGCTGGGGAAATGTAAGTTTGACTCTTAGTAGACAGAATTATTAAATTCTGCTTCTCAAAGATGCCCTCCCTCTTCTCAGAGTCCTGTGACTATGACAGTGTATTTATGTCATGGTCATGCTAAATTACAGTCATGGTATATGTTATATGCAGCTGATTTTGGGACAGGGACATTATCCACAGGGGTCTAATCTAATCACCTCAGCCCATAAAAGAGATGAAAATCCATCATGAATTGGTGCTGTAGTTATTTGAATCTGAGAGGACCATCCAGGAAGGAACACAGGTGGGCTGGAGGAGGCAGAGAGTTCTCAACAGACAGTCAGCAAGGACACAAGAACTTCAGTCCTGTACCCACAAAGAACTGAGTTTTGCCAACAAGCTGAATGGGCTTAGAGTTGAATGAAAGGCAGCTTGGCTGATGCCTTTATGTCAACACTGTGAAACCCTGAGCAATGTGCTTAGCTAAGACCTGCACAGGTAACCTAATGAAGGGTGGTTTTAAACTCCTCCAAGTCTGAAGTTTTTGTTTGTTTGTTTGTTTTATTGTTGTTGTGGTGGTGGTGGTGAGTTTTTTTGCAGCTATAGAAAAATGAACACAACCCATCTGCAAGTTCATACTCTGCCTAAAAATAAAAGCCTGGTAGATTGTAGATTCAGCAAATCTTTCTTAAGAAAAAATAGACATGTATTTTTCTTGACATTGGAGATAGGCAGAATCATAACATAAAAATTTCTAGCCATAAAAATTGTTCAGTTTAGGCTGAACAGTGGTGGCACACGCCTTTAATCCCAGCATTTTGGAGGCAGAGGCAGGTGGATCTCTGTGAGTTCAAGGCCAGCCTGGTCTACAGATGGAGATTTAGGACAGCCAGGACTACACAGAGAAAACCTGTCTCGAGAAACAAAACAACAAATTGTTTAGTCTCATTGTATCATCTTAAATGAAGAAATAGTGTTAACCAAAAAGACCAAGATGGTGTGTGGCTCAACATGTATGCCCAGCATGCACCAGGTACTATGTTCAATCCTTAGCACAGCTTCTCCCCAAAGGAAGACTATTTAGGGAATCAAAATGCATATCAAAGGTAGCAGTGTGTATTTGCAGTAATTCTGTTCATAAAGAACTTGCATCCAGCATATATAAAGAAGTCCCCCTGTAAATCTAAAAAAAAGAGCATATAACCTAGAAAATGGACAGAAATTCAGATACTTGACACAGATGGTATCTGGTAGCCAATTAACATGAAATGAAACAATTTGCTGTTCTATTGGTTATAAGAGACACTCAAAACCACAATGAATCTAAACACTTGAGAGGCTGAGCAAGAAGGTACTTAAGCTTAAATGTTCAAATCTGAACTGAAAACAAAACACATTGAAATACTATTACCTGCTTATCAGAAAGGCTAAAGTTATAAACAAGGGGCAAGAGAGATGGCACAGTAATAAGAGTACTGGTTGTTCAGCCAGAGACCTAGAGTTCACTTTCCAGCCCCCACATAGTGGCTCACACCATCTGTAACTCCTCACTCCCTTCTCTAGCCTCTGAGAGCACCAGGCATGCATGTGTTGCACAGACATCGATGCATACAAAACATCCATATCCACAAAAATAAATATTCTTCAAAAACGGAAAAAAAACTTGATGAGCAATTCTAAGTGTTGGCAGAAGCACAGCGGGGCCTTCGATGAGTGACTGTGAACTGGATGTCTAAAAGAACAGAACTTAAACTGTCGCAGGGTTCTAGAGGCTAGAAACATGGAATTGGGGTTAGTTCTCTTTAGTGGTTAAGGAAGAATCATTTTTTGCCTCTTCTGAGTTTCTGGTAAAGGCTGCTGTTCCTTGAGATATGATTGCATTATGCTGATCTCAACCTCTGTTTTTACACATCCTTCCCTTATGTGTTTTCCAATGCTGGGGAAGAAGCCTAGGTTCACATCGGTCATGGTATCTTACTGCCGCGTCATATCCCCAGCTCTTCTGTTTGTGTTTCTGTAACATAATTTTTTTTTAAGTTTTCTTTTTCATTAAGGCTTCTTCTTATCTCCCTGGGACAAATTATTCTTGAAAGTATAATAGGACAAATTAAAAAAATCCTGATAGCTAATGCCAGATTGCTTCCTAGAAAGGTGGGACATTAGAACTGTCTAAAAGAGAAAAGGAAAGATCCTTCTTTTCTAATTTGAAAGTCTACATTCAAAGAAACTAAAAAGGAACCAGAATTTCAGGGCTGGAACAGTGACTCAATGGATAAGAGCACTGGCTTCTCTGGCAGAGGACCCAGGTTTAATTACTAACACCTAAATGATTGCTCACAACCTTATGTAACTCCAGTTCCCAAGGGATTCAGTGCCCTCTGTTGGCCTCAGTGGGTACCAGTCATGCATGTGGTACACAGACATACATACATGCAGGCAAAATACCCATACACATAATTTTTTTAATTAGAATTTTGTCTAGGTATGGTGATACACATCTTTAATTCCAGCACTTGGGAGGCAGAGGCAGGAAGAGCTCTGTGAGTTCAAGGCCAGCCTCATCTACAGAGTGAGTTCTGGGACAGCCAGGACTACATAGAGAGACCTTGTCTCTAAATAAATAAATAAATAATTTAAAAAATTAGAATTTTATCAGGAAATACCATGCTGCCAGTGAGGGTAGACCACATCCTGGTACCAAAGGAAGAACTGACTCCTAGGAAAGACTTATCTCACAGTTTGGATATCTTAATTCATAGCTAAATCTGTGTGCTATTCCTGGCTTTTGCTTCATCATTCCTGTAAATTGTATATGTGCAGATAGAGAGAGGCTGGGACTTTTTCCTTTCCCCAGTTCTGGCCCAAACTAAATAAATCACTTTTCTTTTACCAGCTCCTGCTTCCTGAGTTTTTTAGAATGGCTAACAAGGGACCTAAGAGTCCAATAATGTAAAAGGATGTATTTTATTGCATGTTTATATCTTTATTAGTGAACTTCAAATGTTGTTTATTCAACATTAATATCTCTTCTACTTGAAGTTATCCTTTTATTTATTTTGCCCAGTGTTGAATTAAGTTTTTGGCATGGTTCATATCAGTTTGTAAGCCTTTTATATGTTAACGATATCAGTCCTGGGCTGAGGGTATGTGTAGCTCAGTGGTAGAATGCTTGCTTAGCATGTTTTAGACCCCAGGTTTGTCTTAAGATGGGGATGAAAACAATCTGACAATCTGTGGTTATCAATTTTGTTGCAAATATTACCTCTAATTTTTCCCTTGAATTTTAGCAAATGACATACTTGGAAAGAGATATTTTCAATATAATGCTAACCACTGTTTGTCAAATATTACTATGTGCTGTGTCTTGAACAAAAGTTTTTGTGTGTATTGGGGCTGGAGAGATTGCTCAGTGGTTAAGTCTGCTTTCCGTTCTTCCAGAAGACTGGAGCTCAGTTCCCAGCACCCATCTTGGGTGGCTCACAATGGCCTGTTATTGCAGCTCTGGGGATCTAGTGCCCTCTTCTGGCTATTGAGAGCACTACACACACACACACACACACACACACACACACACACACACACACACACACAGATTAAAAATAATTTTCAAAAAAAAAAAACTTTACATGTGGACTATCACATTTAATCTTGGCCGTAGCCTTGATGGAATACAGTGTTTCCCCATTGTTGTCCACGAAGAAACATACATTCAAGGTCATATAGCCAATAGCTACAAATTAATGGTATGGAACCATTACTTAGAGTACTGAAATAGGCCTGCCTGCTTTTTTCCTATAAAGAGCCTTAGGCTGGCCAATTTTATTATTGCTTTAATGTTTTGAGTAGGCAATGCAGTCATTGCAAAAGGATCAAAAGGAATGTAGTTCTAGCCCTCACTGGCCCCTCTTTTCCCTTTCCTATTCTTCACCTCATTCTCTGCTTCCACTCCAGATCCTTGACGGTGCCTTGTAGATACAGGTAAACATGATTATATAGCTTGACTTCTTTTCTCCTTTAGGTCATACAAAACAAACACTGTTTTGGTCACTTGATTTTGCAAGACTTGGCTGTTGCTGTGGTATAAAGTCTATTAGAGAGAAGATACTGGGATGATTTAATTACATTTCATCTTTGAAGAGATTTTTTTGCAGACTGAGAATTCAATTTGAATCAATGGTAATTTTGTATTGAAATGGACTTGAGGCCAAACCACAGCCTTGCCAAGGCTTATATAACTAACAGAAGCTGAGCCTTCAACCGTTGCCATATGCTGTGAGGAACGAAGCCAGAGAACAGTCAGTGCATGTAGGTCTTGAGCACTGAGTTAGTTCTGGAGCCTTGAGAGCTGTCTCATAAAAGGTGTTGTGTGTGGTGTCCTGTTGTTTTGTTTTTCATTCAGGTGCTAGTTCTTTATCACTTTTAATTTTTTCATTTCTTTATTACCATATATTAATTGCACAGCTTATTGAGTTTTATGATGACATTTCCACGCATGTATGTAATGTATATTGATCTTGTTACTCTCTGCTATCCACTCATCATCACCCCCAACACACACACATACACACTGTGCTGGTCCCCTTCCGTTTTCCAAACATGTGTAACATACTTCTCTTCTTAGTGCTCCTTGAGGGGGAAGTAAAGGACAAGAGCTGGGAGATATGACTTGGAGTCATATTGCCACCAAGTAGGGTCTCTAGAGAGAACCTGTGCCCTTCCCAAAGCCACGTACCCTGAACATGCTGCTTGTGTCTTGCCTTTCTTCACCCTAGGTACTGGCGGAGGACACTGGGTATGCAAGTCCGCTATGTTCACCATGAGGACTATCAGTTCTGCTACTCCTTCCGGGGCAGGCCAGGACACAAACCGTCCATCCTCATGCTCCATGGATTCTCTGCACACAAGGATATGTGGCTCAGTGTAGTCAAGGTACACTTCCAGACTCTTCTGTCTTAAAGGGTGGGAACACAGTTCAAATTCATCTTTAAATTAATGAAATATATAATATATTATTCAGACTCTTTTTTTTGCATTACAGAATTGATTGAGTAGTATTTTAAAAACTGTGTCTCTGGAATCTTCTCACCATGGAGATATTTTTAGGCACGAGGAGGGTTGGGGTGTTTCAACACAGCTCTACCTCAGAACTGCCATGATGGTGGTCAAGGCTGGGTCTTTTCCAAAAGTGTTTGTTCTTAAACATTCTTTTCCTTTCCCTGCCTACCCCCAAAATCCTCTTCCTTCTGCTATTTGTTTTTTTTCTTTTCCTTAATCATTTAGAGAAATGGTCTTGATTTGGCAGCTTTTTAGAATCCTTTTCCGAGTCACTTTTTGTACTGTTGACTTGTGTGGCCTCTCACTGTACTTTGGGAGAGTGGCCAGCTAATGAGGGATAGGGGGTGGGACTGAGGCTGGTGTTTGTCTTGAGAGAACAGCATCCCAGGTTCGTACTTCAAATGGGACAATATCTGAAAGATCATAAGTGTCACTAGGAGAGAAAGTGCATATGTCATTGGGTTATTTGTGTTCTTACCAAATGCCACCATGAGGACAGCCATCTTCAAGCCTTAATCCTTTTTGTCTCCTCTTCAGTAAACATCTTTGATAACTAATGTTTCTCAGACTCATGGCTAAAGTTGGTGCATCTTTTAAACATAGTGATTTGGGAGAATCATCATCTCAATAATTAGACCCTGATGAAGAAAAAAAGAAAGTTGAAACCAGCCTTATGGCTTTGGGGAAAGGCATTTCTCCTTTTGGCTCTGGACCTAGCCAGGGCTGTGGGAACCATCTCTTCTAGTTCCAAGACAACAGCCACATGGCTGGAGGAAGTGTGGCGTGGAAGGGAAGGAAGTAGTACTGAGCAAACAGTATTAAGAAGTTTTCCGATGTTACCTTGGAGGGAAAAGCATTTGCAATGCAAGCCTGATAAGCTGAGTTTGATCCCTGGAACCCACATAAAAGTGGAAAGAGAGAATGCATACCTAAAAACATAATGTTAAATATTTTAAAAAATTAAGTGCAAGATGTAAGCCTGATACCCTGAGTTTTGTATCCTCTCTCCTGTCACCCACTGAGCCTCTTTTCATCTGTGCATCAGTCTTGGAGTCCTCTCCTCCATATAAGGCTCTGTTGATACTTATTCACATGTATAAGGCACATGGAGGCTCAGAAACATAATCTCAGTGGCTGTCTGGATCATTGAGTAGGTGGCAGCTTCCTCCCCAGAGAAATGGGTAGACATGTTTTTCTAGATCACATACTGACTGTTTGGCTCTGGGTCTTCAGTTCCTTCCGAAGAACCTGCACTTGGTCTGCGTGGACATGCCTGGTCATGAAGGCACCACCCGCTCGTCCCTGGATGACCTATCTATAGATGGGCAAGTTAAGAGGGTACATCAGGTAAGCAGGAGGCTTTACCCAAACTGCCCAGATTGTATCTTCTCAGCACATGGAAAGCAGGCAAGAGTTGCACACTAGCTAATGGCCAGTCCGTAGGACATCTGTCTTTAAGTGATTACAAACAGAATGGCAGCCTAGGGATATCTTTGGTCAGTTTTCCTTTAAGCCTATTGTATTTTTTATTTTATTTTTTGAAATAGGGTATCATGTAGTGGAAGTTGCCTTAAACTTCTGATCCTCCTGTCTCTACCTCCAAAGTGCAATGATTACAGTAATGTACTACTATTTTATGTGATGCTGGGAATCAAGAACAAATCAAGGAATTTGTGTATGCTAACCAAGCACTCTGCCCACTGAGTTACATCCCCTGCCAATTTGTACATGAAGAAATGTAATCTGGGCAGTTTCTTAGCCCTTTAAAAAGGCTACAAAATTGTTCCCCTGTGGAGGTCTGTTTTTCTCCGTGTGGTTAGGGCGAACTCTTTGCATGTTGTTGTGTTTTAGTATCCATCTCTGGCTCTCTCCTAAGGTTATGATAAAGCCTTTTCTTAACAGGATAGTTTGTAAGTTTCACATTCACATTGATGTTTTTTCTAAATAAGAATATTTAGGAGCCGGGCAGTGGTGGCAACGCACGCCTTTAATCCCAGCACTCGGGAGGCAGAGGCAGGCAGATCTTTGCGAGTTCAAGGCCAGCCTGGGCTACAGAGCGAGATTCAGGAAAGGCACAAAGCTACACAGAGAAATCCTGTTTCAAAAAAAAAAAAAAAGAATATTTAGTTGATAATTTCTGTCTCCATCATTAAACTATATATTTGAACGAGGGCTTATTGTCTGGCTCTTTGCTGTGTCCTCAAGGGCTAACCATAGTTATTTGTACCTAATAAATATTTAATATTTTTCCAGTGAGGGATAAATATGTAGATGGTTGATTGGACAGATGTCTAACCAGATAGGGCTTCAAATGAAGCAGGAGTCATCAAACTATCGCCCCAGAGCTGTCAACCTACTTTTGTAAACTCAATTTTACTGGAACACATCCATGCTTACTTAGCTTACTTAGGTATGTATTGCCTCTGGCAGCTTTTGTGACGCAGTAGCCTAGCTGAATAGTTACCACAGAGACCAGCCGACCCATAGAGAGAGGGGGAAAAAAAAACATCAATGCCTTGGTCCTTTATAGAACAGTTTTTGACTTAAGGGGATCATTGTTGTTTGATTTATATTTATAAATGACCCTACAGCCACATGTGCCTTATAAAGTAAAGTACACATATGTCACAGGGCTCAACTAAATATTGGGTGTAATAATCAGTGTCAGACCCAGTCGAGTGTTCAGTTTTACTGAGGGGAGGGGTCTGCTCTGCAGTCATTGCTGACATCTCAGCTGTAATCATGCCTCCTTTTCATTTCTCTTCCTAGTTTGTAGAATGCCTTAAGCTGAACAAAAAGCCCTTTCACCTTATAGGCACCTCCATGGGTGGCCACGTGGCTGGAGTATACGCTGCTTACTACCCGTCTGATGTTGGCAGCCTGTGTCTTGTGTGCCCTGCTGGTGAGTTACGTTACCAGAACAACCTCACAAGTAACTTGAATTTCAAGAAGCATCCACACAGCTTCTGCTGTGACTCCTTTAAAAAGTTATCCTTCTGATATAGACCCCAGATATAGACAATGCTTTGTGATAACTCTGACCAGGTAACAATTGTGTGATGAGAACCATAGCCAGACTGACTTAATTGGAGCCAGACCTGGTTCACAGAGAAGGAGGGAGGCAGTGGCCATGTGCATGGTGCTGTGTGGCCCTGTACTTAACTGTGGAACCTGCCCTTCTCCACAGAGAAGGAGGGAGGCAGTGGAAATTTAAGATTGATTGTTTGCATGTGAAAAGGTGGAAACAAGTTAGGACCACATCCTACCTACATTTTTCTACATAAGCTTTGTCTTAACTTTGAAATAATTTTAAATTTATAGGAACATTGCCAAGGTAGTGCAGATCCCCATATTACCTTTACCCAGTTTTGTCTGTGTGAACAGATCACATCCCCACAATGACCCTGTCACAACTAAGGAGTTGAGCTTGGTGCCTTACTATCAACTGAATCCCAAGCTTCATTTGAATTTGATTTCATTTTTCCACCCGTGTTGCTTTTGAGTATCAGAATCCAGTGTAGGATACCACAAGATATTAAACCTAAGATTAATTTTTTTCTTAAAAAAAATATATGACTGGGGGGGGGCAGTGACAATATAAATTAAAAGAGAAAAGATGTAAAGGCTAACTGATAAAAAACGAGTTTGGGCTGGAGAGGTGGCTCAGAGGTTAAGAGCACTGACTGCTCTTCCAGAGGTCCTGAGTTCAATTCCCAGCAACCACATGGTGGCTCACAACCATCTGTAATGAGATCTGGTGCCTTCTTCTGACCTGTAGTCATACATGCTGTATACAAAATAAATAAATAAATCTTTTTAAAAAAAAAATGAGTTTCATTATTTGATCATCTGTCAGGATGTGACTTTTTAATCAAAACTTTCATGTGAATGCAAAAACAATGACTTTTTTTTTCCTGTTCTATGGTGCTGAATGTCAAACCAGGACCTCATACAGGCTAAGCAAGGGCTCTGCTACTGAGCTGCACGCCCACATCTTAAGTTAGTTTGTTTATAACATAGATGTTATCTTAGCACAACTTCTAAAGGCTATTACAGAAAGTTATGAGGCCATTTTTGAAAGCTTTTAGGACCACCTCATGAAATTGTCTGTACTCTAAAAGGACATAGTCTATGATTAAAATTAAAGAGAAGTCACTGTGAAACAGTATTGGGTATGGACAATTCTGGGCAGGTTCTATGAATCCCCCCATCCCACAGGTTAGGTTCTTGCTATGGCTGGCTTTAATTCCCTGTGTATGTAGCCTAGGCTGGCTTTGAACTTGCAATCCTCTTGCTTCAGATTCTTGTGTGGCTAGGATTATAGGAGCATACTATCTCAGCAGGCTTTTTAGGGCATAGATATATAATGTGGTTTTCTTTGTGGGTGAGAGACAAAGTTGAAGCTGGGTGTCTTCTTGGTCACTGTCCACTTTATTTGTTGATGTGGAGTTTCTAGCTGAACCCGGAACTTGCCAGTTATGGCTGGTCTAGCTAGCAAGCTGGCCACAGAGCTTCCTGTTTGTCTCCAAGGGTTGAGATTACAGGTGGCTGTTACAGCTTCTGCATGGGTTCTGGGCTTCTGAACTTCCATCCTCATACTATGCAGCAAGAGCTTTACCAGTGAGCCATTTCCCTGGCCCTAACATGTTGTTTTCTATAGGATGGCCAGTATTAAAGATGCAACTGCCTGTTTGTTTTTAAGACAAGGTCTCATGTAGTCAAGACTGGCCTTAAATTCATAATCTTTCCACGTCTACCTCCCAAATTCTGGGATCATAGGCCATGCCTAGCATAGTGTTAGCTATCAGAGGCTCTTGTGTTGTGAGACAGTGGGCATTCTCAAAAGGAGTCTCAGCCCTCACCTAATTTTCTTCTGGAGGAAGAGAGCCTTTGTGCTGCACTTACACTCTCTTGTGTCTTATGCATTGGTCACCGAGGGGAGGGCATCCAGATCAAGGGAGGGAGCTGCAGCCATGGCAGCTCTGTGCTTTCTTTCTATCTCTCACTTCTTCAATCTCCTCAAAATAACACAGGCATGAAAACAGTGCGAGTGAGGCACCATCTGGCACTCCCCATACTCCGCCATTCTCACCCCCTTGCAGCTTGTGGAAATGCAGATTCTGGTTTAAGAGGCTTGGGGACAGCCTCAGTTTCTGCGTATCTTGCTAGTCTGTGGCCAGGGTATGTGCAATCAGCCCTAAAACATAATGCTGTTGTTTTAATCTGGACTAGTTTAGAATTTATTATGTAAGCCCATGCTGGCCTTGAACTTGTGATTCTCTTGTCTCCACCTCTTGAGGCGTGTATGTACCACCATGCTTAACTCCAACCCTAAAATATCTTAGATGATATATTTTTTTTCTGTAATTCTCAGAATACGATGTTTACTTTGAGCAAGGGTTCCAGTACCAATTAAAAAGTGATCTCTTAGCCAGGTGGTGGTGGTACACAACTTTAATCCCAGCACCCAGGAGGCAGAGGCAGGCAGATCTTTGAGTTTGAGGCCAGCCTGGTCTACAGAGTGAGTTCCAAAGATGGCTGGAGCTACACAGAGAAACCCTGTCTCAAAGAGGAAAAAAAAAAGGATCGTCTCCTGGTGAAAGAAACCTGACATGTTAACCTGAGTCCCTGGGTTTTCATTGAACATTTCCTGCACATAGGGGCACAATACACCTGATAGGTATATCATTGGGCTCTTTTGTTTTGCATCCCAGGCCTGCAGTATTCAACTGACAATCAATTTGTACAACGGCTCAAAGAGCTGCAGGACTCAGCTGCCATTCAGAAAATTCCCTTGATCCCATCCACCCCGGAGGAGATGAGTGAGATGCTCCAGCTCTGCTCCTATGTCCGATTCAAAGTGCCCCAGCAGGTACAGTGTTTCAGTGCCACACCCTTGCCCTCCATGCAGCCTCCCCCAGCAGGGCCTCTTGTATCTACTCTCTGACTCCATTCTGTCTGCTCCATTATTTAACATGTCGCTTACCAGTTGCCTGTGATTATGTTAGACACTGTGCTGAACACTGTGGTAAATATATAACACAGGGAATTTCCCTGAGCAGATGCAATCCAATGCAGGAAGCAGACAACTAATAGACAAAAATTTACAAGTTGAGATGAATTTTAGAGGTAAAATGAAGATGGTATAAATATTTAAAATGGGGAGGGAGGGATAGCTCTGATAAGGTAATTTGAAGGGTCATGTGTAGAGTGGGAAAAACATACAACAGATTGATGGCAATGGAAAAAAGCAAGTGGCTGGAGCCTAGAGAGTGAAGGATTAAGGAGCTGGAAAGGGAGTCAGGGGCTAAATCCATTCTCAGTTTAAAAAAATTAAGACTCTTAGACTTGTACATTAAAAAAGTAGAGGGTTCACGAAGATAGCTGTCACTCCTCTCATTCACCAGGGAACAGGTCTAGCCCCCTTCAACATACCTTCCCAGGAGTCTTATGCAGACCAAAGTTGGGAAGACTAGTGTTATGTTCCTCAAAAGGTCATGTACTGAATGCTTGGTCTTCAGCCTGTGGGGTGAGCTTTAGGAGGTGGGACCCACTTGGAGAGGTCATTGAGTGATATATTGGGACCCTGGCTCCATCCCTGTCTGCTTCCTGTCCACCATGAGATGGAACCATGGGTGGATGGTTGGTTGGTTGGAGGGATGGGATGATGACTGGATAATATAGGGGTGGGGAAAGGATAGATTAGCAAATACAGACATAATAAAATGATTCAGGGAAATAAGATAAATGGATGAACTGATTAAGCCATTAATCAATTAAGCCAGTGGTTCTCAACCTGTGGGTCACAACCCTTTTGGGGGTTGAACAACCCTTTCACAGGGGTCACCTCAAACCATAGGAAATAATCAGATATTTACATTACAATTCATAACAGTAGCAAAATTATAGTTATGATGTAGCAATGAAAATAATTTTATGGTTGGAGGTCACTACAATATGAAGAACTGTACTAAAGGGTTATAGCATTAGGAAGTATGAGAACCACTGAATTAAGCAGAGTTGGAAAAGGGTAGATGGATGCATGGATACTGGGTGGATAGTAGAAAGAAGAAAACATCTGTCATGGAGCACAGTGTTTATTAAATAAACAGTCATTTCCCTCACCTCTGTGCTGCTACTTTCAGAACCTCTGGGATTCTAGTCATGCTTTAGAGAGCTGGTTTAGTCAAAAGCAGCCATGATTCAATATATTAGTGAGCTTTCTATCAGTGTGGGAAAATACCTGACAGTGCCATGGGTTCAGAGGTTTCAGGCCATTGTTACTTGGCCCCTTCATTTTGAGCATATGGTGAGGCAGAACATCATGGCAGGAAGCATGCCGTAGAGCAGAACTGCTCATCTCATGGTGGACAGGAAGCAGACAGGGATGGAGCCAGGGTCCCAATATATCACTCAATGACCTCTCCAAGTGGGTCCCACCTCCTAAAGCCCACCCCACAGGCTGAAGACCAAGCATTCAGTACATGACCTTTTGAGGAACATAACACTAGTCTTCCCAACTTTGGTCTGCATAAGACTCCTAGGAAGGTATGTTGAAGGGGGCTAGACCTGTTCCCTGGTGAATGAGAGGAGTGACAGCTATCTTCATGAACCCTCTACTTTGACTTAGAGTCCTGAGGCAAGGAACTGCCTTACATGGCCATAGCCACCTATCTAGATTAGTAGCCAGGGCTTGGAGATCTGGCCTATCTATATTTGCTACAGCCCTCAGCAAGGAAAGCAAAGGCAATGTCAGACAGTAATCTGGGCTCTCTGAAACTATGGGGTTCTCACCAGAGTTTTCTTAATAGTTTATTTCTTCTCCTCTTCCTCCCTCTTTCCTCTTCCTCTTTCAAGAGGGTCTTTTTATGTATTACAGACTAGCCTGGAACTCACCGAATAACTGAAAATAAATTTAAACCCTCAATTTTTCTGCCTTTATCTCTAGAATATTAGGAGTGTAGGCATGCTGTTCACACCAGGTTTATGTGGTGCTCAAGGCTTGGTGTATGCTAAGCCAGTGCTCTGTCAACTGAGCTGTGTCCCCAACTCCTTCATTGTTTATAGGATCATCAATCCTGATGGTTCAATCTTGTTCTGCATTTAGATATCATTGAATAATGGCCTGATATTTTGTTTATCCAAATTTTTGTCTTGAATTAAACCAAGAGTTTCTCAAGATGCCATGCTAATGTCTTTATAATGTCTTTAACATAATATGCAGACCTCTGGCTTCACAGCATTTCCCAAGTTCCTCCCTAATTTTTTATTATTATTATTTTTTAATGTGAAAAGTGTTTTGCCTGTATTTTTGTGCACCACATTCATGAAGTGCCTACAGAGGTTAGAGGAGGGCATCAGAGCCCTTGGAACTAGAGTTACAGATGGTTGTGAGCTTCCTTGTATATGCTGAGAATCAAACCAGGTCTTATGTAAGAGCAGCAAGTATTATTACTGAGCTATTTCTCCAGCTCATTTTGTTTTTTAAAGCCTCCCAATTATATTCTACATTCTGGGGATTCACAAGCCCAACCCTAGGCAGTGCTGCCCCAGAGCTATAAGACGCTGGAGGAAGTGGGACTTCTCTTGTTTTCTAACTTTGGATTATTCATCCTCAGATCCTTCAAGGCCTTGTTGATGTTCGCATCCCTCATAACAGCTTCTACCGGAAACGTAAGTAGCCCTGCTCTAGCTTGTGGCTTAGGGGCCAGCTGCCTTATAGTTTGTAAACCTCTGTACATGTCATGTTTTCTGGTCCCCTGAAGAGAAGAAGTAATGGCCTGGACTTGAAGCGCTGACTGTTGTGGTACCTATGTGCAGACCCTGCATATACTCACTGTGTTTTTCTTTTCTGACAAGTGTTTTTGGAAATTGTCAGTGAGAAATCCAGATACTCTCTGCATCAGAACATGGACAAGATCAAGGTCCCAACACAGATCATTTGGGGAAAACAGGACCAGGTATGTCATAGGGCCCTGTGGGAAAAAAGCAAGTGGTGATCTTTAAAGTGGGCCTCCCTGTTGGGTTTATTGTGTCAGGTGCCAATGTCTGCTGCCACAGTTCTTTAAGCTGGGAACAATGACATTTGACTTTTAACATGAAAGGAAATGTATTTGTTTCTTTATTGAGATAGGTAGCCCAAGCTGACCTTGTACATTGAATCTTCCTGGCTTCGAATCTGGGAGTCAACAGGGCTGATTGCTCTGGAAACTCTGAGGGAGACTCTCCCCATTTTCCCCCAGCTTCTGTTGCTTGCAACCATCTTTGGTATCCCTTGTCTTATAGATGTATTCCCTGGGTTTTATTTTTATCTTCACATGACATTCTGTGTGTGTGTGTGTGTGTGTGTGTGTGTGTGTGTGTGTGTGTGTGTGTGTGTGTATCTAACTGTATTCACAATCCACTTTTTAAAGCACACCCGTCATATTGGCTTAGGGCTTCTCTGCTCTTTTATGACATCATCTTAACCAGTTACACCTGCAATGCACTATTCCAAAACAGGCCAATACTGAGTACTGGAATTAGGACTTCAGCATAAGAATATGGGAATTCCATTCAGCTCATAACCAGCTCTCCAAAGACGCACCAAGTTTTTTCCCAGAAGTACCTTTGTAATTGCCTCTGAGAAATCATGCCTACCAAAGATTTTTCATAATGTTTAAAGCAAGAGGAGACAGTAAGAAATGTATAATGCAAACGAATGACAGTGTATTATAAAGGGTACACAAGAATCTTTCATTAAGAAATATTGTAAGAAAAAGCTATTAAAAATGCTTTTTTCTGATTGTTTTCTGGTGCTATAACAAAATGTCTGAGACCAAGTAATTTAAAAGGACTAGACATGTAAAGATTAATGTTTGGTTGGCTGGGAAGTCCATGTGTAGAGTGCCAGCATCTGCCAGCATGTAGTGAGGAGCTTTCTGTTTCATATTTGGTTGAGGACAGCATGATAGTGACATTAGTCCATTCCTGAGGGCAGAGATCTCAATGATCTATTAATCCATTTAGGAGGGCAGAAGGATAAAGCTTCCAGTGCATGAACTTATAAAGGACACCTTCAAGCTCGGCACACCTGAGTTCTGATACAGCTGAGGAAGTAGAGGATCTTTACAGAAAGGGAAAGAGAACTCAGGAGTGGTGTCTTCCCTTTCTCTGTCTTATCTGCCCTCTCAGCCCCTATCTGGAGCACCTGTTCACATCATGATACATTCATCTCTTGATAGTTCTGGCTCCCCCTCCAGCTTAATTCCTTGCAGACAGGAACTCTGTCTTTTCTACCTGGTTATCATTGGCAGTGTTGTACTTCTAGTACCATATTTCAGAGTCAAGCAGGAGGCATGCTGATGGCTTCCATTTACCCCATCTTCCTGACCCCTGCCAGGCCTCAGTGGTAGAAATTGTCCACGACAACACAGTGGCACATCTAAATCTTTGTGTACTATTTCTTCCCTCCTCTTCTTCTGCAGGTGCTTGATGTGTCTGGAGCAGATATATTGGCCAAGTCCATCGCTAACTGCCAGGTAGAGCTTCTGGAAAATTGTGGCCACTCAGTGGTGATGGAGAGACCCAGGAAGACAGCCAAGCTCATTGTTGATTTTTTAGCTTCTGTGCATAACACAGACAACAACAAGAAGCTGAACTGAGGTCCTTGCCACAGCCTGCATTGTTCACACAGCATCTACTCCCATCCCGCAAACTTGATACAGTCACCACTCTCAGGGATCCTGCCCCAAATGCAGTTGGAGCACCAATGTCCCTGAGGAAGTCGGTCTCCTACCCCAGTATTCTTGGTTCCACAGAGCATCAGGGGCCACAAGGAAATCTCCAAGATCTTTTTTCAAAATAGAAACCTAAATGGAACTAAATAAAAAAAAAAAAAAAAAAAAAAAACCCAGCCATGAAGCCTACTAGAAGTCTTCAAGTTCATGTCACTGACAAGCTAATGCTAAGCAGCCACCTTCTACCATGATCATGAGTGACATTTTCTTTAGGACATTCCTCACACATTAAACTTGAGATAATTTTTGTTGCTTCAGATATATCCCTTGCATGGTCAGTGGCTCCTATAGAGGAGCTTTAGTCATTTATTGAACTCTTGTTTAGATCTAAGTCAAGTTTTGCATAGAGGTCCATGTGTGAATGTAGCCCATTAGCCACAAGACTAGGGAAGAAACAGTAAACTGTGGAAGAGGTTTCTGCCCTAGGCCCTGTTGTACAGACCTGGAATCTCAGCCACCTGGGAGGCTGAGGCAGGAGGATCCAAGTTCAAGACTTGCCTGAAGTACAGAGTGAGTTCAAGGTCAGCCTGAGCTACTCACTAAGACAAAAAAAAAATTTACAAAGAAAAGAAAAAATGTTTCTATTTTTTTTTTTAAACATATAGAAACATACATGGAGGGGCATTGTTCTGCCTTAGCCAGCCCTCAGAACTGCTGAAGCAGCAGAACATGGGCTGATGGGTTTGGGTACCTACAAACCATACCTAACCAGAATGAAGAACATCTGATAGGGTGGGTTTCCTAGAAATAATTTATAATTTTTAAAAATAGGACTAATAAAGCAATAATGTTCTAGGCTTCTATCTAATCAGACTGGAGTTCCACACCAAGCAGCTCATGGGCATCTTTTCTATTCTGCTGTTCTACTGATAACCCTTGGATGTAAAATACTAGTTTGTTAATGAATTCTGTGAATTCTGTGAACAATGATGTGATTGAAAAAGTAAGTCCAAACAGCTGTAAAAGTGACTACAATGACGTGAAATAAACTTAAGAAGCCTGGGCTGGCAACACACTGGCGCTTTCTATTTCTCAGCCCCTAATGGGGTGCAATATTGATAGATTTTCTGTTCACTTAAAAGTGTATTTATTTCCGGGGACAAGTGAAGAGGCCAGAGGTTGATGGTTGACGGCAGGTATCGTCCTTAGTCTCCACCTCATTTTTTAAGACAGGATCTCTCAGTGCACTTGGAGCTAGCAAAGCTGCAGGTACCCTCCTCTCATCACCTCGCATCACGGGATTGCAGGCACATGTTGCTGTGCCATTCTTCACATGGGTGCTGGGGATCCAAACTCGGGTGCTCAGGCTTGTGTGCTGAGCCTTTTACCAAATGAGCCATCTCTCTGGACCCTAAAATGTACTTCTATTATTTTATATTTACTGTAATTAAGTGGATGTGTCTGTGTCTATGTGGGGGTAAGTGCAGGTGCTTGTGGAGGCCAGCAGCCCCAGGTCCTCTGGAGCTGCCATTACAGGACATTGTGCCCTGCATGGGTACTGGGATTCGAACTTGGGTCCTCTGCAAGAGCAGTGTGTGCTGGTAACTGCTGAGCCATTACTCCATCCTAAGTGTTTTTTAAAGTAACTGAAATCATTGCTCAAAAGCAGAAGTCATCAACTTTTTCTTTTCTTTCTTTCTTTGTTTTTGGTGTTGTTTGTTGGTTTTGTTTTTCTGTTTTTTGTTTTTCTGTTTTTGTTTTCTTTTTCCCCAAGACAAGGTTTCCCTATGTAACAGTCCTGGCTAGGGCTGGAGAGATGGCTTAGAGGTTAAAGAGCATTGACTGTTCTTCCGGAGGTCCTGAGTTCAATTCTCAGTAACCACATGGTGTGACTCACAACCGTCTATAATGAGATCTGGTGCCCTCTTCTGGTGTGCAGGCAAATATGCAGACAGAATACAATATACATATTAAATAAAGGAATTTAAAAAAAAAAAATTTTTTTAATTTAAAAAGAAAAAAAAAACAACAGTCCTGGCTGTCCTGGAACTCACAGAGCGCTTCCTGCCTCTGCCTCATGCTGGGATTAAAAGTGTGTGGCACTAATGCACAGCAATTTGTTTCTTTTCCTTCACTTCTGTTGTTCATAGCTTAAATGGGAATCCATGGTGTGGTTTGAATATTATAATTAATCAGAGAAGCATGGAGTATAGTTCTTGAAAAGATGTGAAAATGACAACAAGCTTGTGAGATGTAGCCAATGCACTGATCAGGAAAATGTATAGGTGTAAATGTATACATTAGAAAAGAAAGGCTGAGCCAAGCGTTGGTAGTGCACGCCTTTAATCCTAGCACTTGGGAGGCAGAGGCAGGCAGATCTCTGTGAGTTTGAGGCCAGCCTGGTCTACAGAGCTAGTTCCAGGACAGCCAGGACTACACATGGAAACACTGTCTTGAAAAACAAAAAAGAAAAAGAAAAGAAAAGTCTGAAAATTAATAAATTAGCTCCAGAAGCTTGGGAAAAAATAGTAAATCCAACAGTGAAATAAGGGAGTAATCCAACTGAAAATAAAATCAGAATCTATTCTGTTTCTCAAAGAAAGTAGATAGTAGATGATTTGACTTTTTCCCGTGAGTGCTGAGCTTCCTGTGAGGAGGGTGACTCTGCACATAGGTGACAAGAGATGGTTTCCTCTGAATCACTAAAGAGGCCCTTGACCTGGGGATCCGTTTCAAAAGCAGCTTTCTGGACACAGGATTTCTTACTGGCAAGGATTAGAAGCATCTGTGAACCAGGTATTCTGGTGTATACTCATAATCCTAGAACTTGGAAAGAGGAAGCAGAAAGATCATGAAGCCATAGTAAGACTCTCCAATCACAGTGGCACAGGGAGAGGGATCTGCGTTGTCATCTGGCAGGGTATGTGCTGTCCACCTCAGCCTGGAAGAACAGTTAGGCAGGTTCTGCAGTGGACATGATGACCCCCACTTCCTGCACTATCAACAGAAAACCTTGTTAGAAGTCATGAACCAAGAATAAGGGAGTTTTTTTTGTTTTTTGTTTTCTATAAACACATAAAGTAGGTTTTCTAGGTTCTCTGATCGCCCGGCCATGCTGGGAAGTCCCTTGTGCCCTTTGTCTTAACCCCATAATTTTAAGAAGCCTGCTAGTTAATGTCTGCTAGCTGCCTCCACACCACCCTGCTGGGCTCTGCACTTTTGCTGAATCTTTAAAAGAAGAATTATTCATCACAGCCCTTTCTGAAGGACTGCCAGGAACTTCTGGGATAAAATGGAAAGCCCCAGGAGGCTCAATTCCTGTTCTTGGAGTTGGGACCATCAGAGTTGTTGCAGATTGAGCTTCCTGGGAAAATACTGGAGTCACTGAGGGGATCATTCCTTTCTGAGTTTTTTGATCTTTGGTTCTTAAAGCTCCAATGGGAACCTTGGGCCATGGAGCTCCATCAGGTGGTGGGCAGGAAGGATTGTGACAATCCTAGTGACCCAAGGCCAAAGCTAGCTGGGGCCTATACTCTTATTGATTGTAACATAACTTTTGGAAGGTGACTGCTGACAGTAGTGTGAGCCTACTTCCATAATTCCTCACCAAGGCTATCAGACCTGAATGTTACTCAAATCCAGAACAATCTCCATGTAAAAGGACCATGCACCATATCTCATATAACATCCCAACTCCATGTATGATCCAATTGATACATCCTTGTTTCTGCTATCAGTGTAAATTGGATGAGATCTGAAACAAGCTTTCCCTTCACGTTGGTACTGGATAAGAAGACTGTGCTTCTGTTTTATATTTCTGTTTGTTTCTTCATTTCCTAGAGAGAGGAAGAGGATTGAGGATGGGGGGGTGGGGGGATGGGGGAATGTTAGCATTAAGGCATCTTTACTGGCCTGCCTTTGGGGACCTGGCAGGATACCTGGCATGTACCTGTACTTGCTAGTACTCAGGCATCTCCACTGGTTTGCTCAGGGTCCTGACAGAATCATCATCATCATCAGCTCTGATGCTGCACAGAGCTCTCCCTATGTGCATGCACTATGTCCCCTTATAATAGGCAAGCCCCTCCCATTTTCTGCCCCTTCTCTCTTCAGCTCTTAATAAACCTCCCATGTGAGTTCTGTTGTATGGTGTGACTCTCTCTCTCCCACCAGTAAATTACAACATTGGTGCATGAGACTCTGCAAGCTCTCCTGGCAGTTCCTCCTGCCCACCGGCAGTCTGAGGCACACCAGGACCCTGGAACTAGTCCACCTGTGACAGCCTCACTTTTCCAACTGGCCGATCAACACTGGCAATGACTGGTAAGTTCCCCTTCTCCTGGTCCATGTAAACGCTTCCCTGGACCCATGGGAATGACCGTTGAGTATCTGCCACCCCTCTGGTGTACTTGGAGGTGGGGGAACACCCAACCATGGCCTTCAAGGCTACAGTTGACCACCTTCATTGTCAGCCACCCTTGGCCATTTCCTACAAGTGAGGCTTTGTCTCTTGAGTGTGGTTTCTTGCCTTTTGGCCCTGCCTGCAAGCCCTGCTACCAGGCAACCACGTGTCTCTCTGGCAGGCTCTAAGCATCCTGTCCTTGCATGATGATGTACAAGACAGCCTGTGCCTTACTCAGGCCTTGGCCCCTGTTCTTTGTGTGATGACACACTGGGCAGCTTGTGCCTTCTTAATCTGATCCTCCATGAATTCCTGGGATGCTGGGGATTCCAGGCCTTTGGATCTTATTTTTCTGCCTCACTTATGGGAACTGTACCTAGCACTATAAGTCCAAACTCTTCCCCAGGATGTCTTTTGGAAAACCTCAGACCTCTATACTTAGCACCCAACCCCAAAGGGCTTCTAAACTTTTCCAGCTTTGCAGTCGGATCTGGTCCCAGTACCCCTTAGATATCTGGCACAGCCATATCTGATGGGAATGGCAAAAGTCATAAGGCCAGCACAGTTGCTTGACAGAGATCCAGCAAAGCTGAGCCACATGATGGCTGCCATGCCACCACTGGTTTTCATCTCCACCTGTTGCATACTTGGGAGACTTTTAATATTTGTACAATTTTGGGATATTAGATTAATGGGAAATTTCTTATGAAGCATTTATGCCTTCTCCTAGGAATACTGCTTCTAAGATTCCCCAGGAAAGTCCTGAACACATTACCCCTTCTGCTTTTAGGGAGACATCCTTATCTACTTGAAGGTCTTCCTTATGCCTTGGAGGTTGCGACACACATAAAGAAGCCAGAGGTCTTTTTATGAGGGTAGGAGACATTCTGAAACATCTGTCCCTGTACTTACACAGGAACAAAATATTCAAACAAAGTAAACTCAAAAAGGTAAACAAGATTCCGGTGGGCTAGAGGAGTTGGCCACAGATCAGATTGCAAGCCCCTTTCCACTATACACTCAGGCGATTACATGGCATATACAGCAATGAAGTTAGATTAGTGGAAGTTACCTCTGTTTTACACAGGGACTTATATCGATGAGCAAAGAATGGAGTAGAAAGATGATAAAAGAATGAGACGTCAGGACCTCCCTTTCTTAGAAAAGTAAGCACATGCAGAGCCACTGTGGTGTCATGTGACCAAGGAACAGCAGAATGTTAGGATTAGACATATAGACAAATTCTATAAAGATATAAACATTGTATTATGCCAGAATTTGAATAATAACTACAGTAGCTTTGGCCTGAAACTTTTCTTGGGCACTCTGCCATTAAGAGTTAATAATACACTGCTTGGACATGGTAATAGCCTGGGCTGGCTTAAAGATTTTGTTTTGATCTAGCATCCTTGAAGCAACCAGAGCTACCAGCCTGAAAACAGGCTGTCATATGCTTCTAGATTCTTAAAAATTGGGTTATAGGGTCAGTGACTAAAAATGATAACTCCATTTATTAATGATGTCAAAACTTGAGGGAAAATGATTGGAAATGATAACTCTCTTCTGTCATAGTTTATTAATGATGACTAAAAGATGAGCAAGAGGAAATGAAACACATGTCCAAAACCAAAAATGATATGATCTATATTTTGGAACAATATGAATCTGTCCCT